GGGAGGGAAGACTTAAAGTGTACTTGGAACCAAAGGTGAGGCCTGTTTTACATATGCTGGGTTTGCAGACACATCCAATTACCTCCTTAACAGATGCCTGTGCATCCACCTTCAGTGGCTTTATACACTTTGCAAAATATCTCCCTTCATGGGTATTCTGCACTATGTAAGCAGTGATAGGGGATAAAAGCAAAAATAAAAAATCGGTGTTTGTTTTCCCTTGATTCTTAGAACTGGGAGTATTCTCTTCCAGCTTAGTGGCCATGGTCAAAATGAGCGCAAATGTCTTGTTCAAATAGCAGGCTTCACAAATGTCACTTCAATAACCGTGGATAATCTGAGGACTGAGTCTGAATTGGTGACCTGGATTCTGCCACACATAACACTGCTTTCCCTTTGCCTCCTTCATTTCTCTGCTATCTTGGTGGCTTAAATGATTAGTGGGGAAGGGCTTAGCTAATTTCTGCCAAATATGGGAGGGACTGAAAAAATTATAGTTTCATACCAATTCAAAAATTACTTAATATTAAGCATTCAATCAGAACTGACCTAAATCTTCCACAGCAAGCCTTGACTGGTTCAACATAATCATATCTCCTACCTGTCAAGTCATAGTTCTATTCTTTCCAAGTCCTGTCATAGCTATTGAGCACAGGCAGGGTGGGGACTGTTACAGGACACATCTTGGAAGGAATGAAGACTTGCCCAGGTATCCAGAGCCGATTAGTGCATTGAAGGGGCTGTACGGGGTTGCTCACTGTACCACATTGAAAAGTAACTGTGTATTCCTGGGCAGAGGTGTACACTTAGCATTCTGTTCGTGTGTCAGAGTTCACACTCTCCCCCAGAAGCTACAGCTGGCAAAATATGTCAGCCTTTAACACGGATGTTCCAAAAGGCTTGGTGTTCTCTTCACTTTGGTGTCACTAATAAGTCGGGAAAATCTCCGGGTTTTCCCAAAATCTCACCAGTGCCCCAAATTTCAAAGGGCTAGGCTTAGCACACAACAATGGCAATGAAGTCCACTTGATCTTTGACATCGCGCACACACACACACACACACACACACACACACACACACAGAGAGAGAGAGAGAGAGAGAGAGAGAGAGAGAGAGAGAGAGAGAGAGAGAGAGAGAACAGAGAGGGAGAGAGAGAGAAAGAGAGAGAGAGAACTCCTTCCTCTGACAGCCAACAAAAAGATAGTAATGACAAGAAGCAGAGCTTATAAATTTTTCTTATGCTTAATGCCTAATTTCATGTAGTCAATGGATTCATTTATTAGAGCAATTTGTGTAAATCCCCAAGGGCTTGCTAAGGCTGCTGCCTAATGGTTTTATCACCTCGTAGACTTCCTTTATTCCTATCCTCTAACAAATACTGGATTGGCAAGGAACCATGGACCAACCACTGCTTAAAATATTGGTAAACTGTAATAAGGCAAAAATAAAAAATAAAAATGAGGGCTTTTCGTGTCTCTGGGGTTTCCTTCAGCAACAAAGGGATTTCTTTCTTTCTTTCTTTCTTTTTTAAGTGTCAGCTGATTCATCAATACTGCTTCCACAGTCTTATCAATTTCAGGTTGACTCAAGGTTTATTTTCAGGAGTCAGTAGGTCCCCCTCAGGTTTCCAGGTATGGATCTGCACTGAGAGGGGTGATGGGAGCAATCTGAAGTCAGTACAACCACCCCATTATCGACCCCCCTCCTGGAGGAGCAGGCAGAGTCTCAGCCTTGCATAACCGCAGGCTGCCCTGTAATCAGGAAGGAAGGGTGCCTGTTGCCTGCTGGTCCCTGCAGAGGTTGTTTAGCTGGAGAGAGCCCCGCAGTGACGAAGTCCGGGAGGGGGAGCATTAGTACAGTCCTTGGCCAGAGGTGGTGCCTCCAGCTTCAGTCTGCCTTCTGTGTATCTGTTCTCCTTCATCCCAGTGGGATGGAAGCAAGAATGCAAATAGAGTCAAATCCAAACCCATCACTTAGAAAATGACCCATCACTTAGACTCTCCATGGTGCTGGATCTTGAAGGGCGGCCTCCTTAACATGCACAATCAGGGGCACATGGGACTTCCATTTGAGAAAACCCAGGTGCAACAAGAAACAAAAGTCTGCCCACTGAAGACTGACGTTACAAGTGGCTATTTGTACAGTTAAATGGCAATACTAGTGTATAATTATTATCTCCTGCAATAAATTGAGGACATAACTTAGTAAGTACTTGGGGGGAAAATGGATAAAACAAAGAATATTAATGATCTCTTAGTTGTATTTGAAGAAGGGGCATCTTGTAATTATTCTATGCTAACGGGGAAGTGATGGGTGAAGAGGGCCATGTTGGAAGAACTGAAGTGCGTTATAACAAGAAGGGATCCAGAAGCAAGTGGAGTGAGAGGGAGATGAAGAAGCTGGGTGGGAAAAGAGCAGAGAGAGAGACTGAGAGAGAGAGAAAAAAATAGAGGTGGACACAGAGACACAGAGGTTTGTGGATGAAAGCAAAGGGTCTGGAAGAAAGAATGGGGGTTTGAGAAAGAAACACAATGTGCTGTGCAAGGTGAAATCAATGTAAACAGAATTATGTTTCTATCTGTTACTGAACCATGTGAAAGGGCTGGACAGAGCTTTACCATGTGTGAAGAGCATATCTGGGATGCTCTGACTTTAAATAGATGTTAATTATAGTATATGCAAAATCCTCTTTGGGGGGTTTGTGGAGGGCCATCAAACTACTAACTGAAAGTGGGGGTAGTGTGACCTGCCCATGTGGCTGCAGATAACAAGAGATGTACCAGAAGCACTAAAATGCCTAGGGCAGAGAAAACAAATGGACACTTCCAAAATGGTTCCTAATTCCAAAGTCACCAGGACAAATTATCAAATTGTTGCCTCCATTTGCAGAGGAATTAATTTCTGTGGAGTAGCTCCATGAGACTGTTCCAGGGATGAATGGATGGAAGAATGGATGGATGAATGGATGGTGAGTATGAAGAATGCAGGGGGTTGGCTGGCTTTCTGTGACACCTTAACACCTAGTGATGTGTATTTTATAGGGGAATGAGAGACACTGGGAGTCCCATTGCAAGGTTGGCATGGGGGCAAAAGCTGAGGCTGATGGTGATGGTGATAACCAATGTCTGGGTCACAAAAAAGTAATTTTTGCCTGAAACCACAGATAGCACCACATCTTATATACTACGTTTTCCTACATATACATACCTATGATAAAGTTTAAATTGGACACAGTAAGAGAATAACAACAATAATGAATAATAATATAGAACAATTATACCAATATCCTGTAGTGGAAGTTAGGTGAATGGCCATAATGTAAGGGTGACTTGAACACAAGCACTATGATACCACAATAATCGATCTGACAACCAAGAAGGCCACTCAGAGACAAGAGGTGCATGTGTATCCAGCATGAATATGCTGGACAAAGGGAGATTCATGTCCTGGGAGGCATGGATCAGGACATGTGAGATTTTATCAGGCTACTCTGAGCTCTGCACAATTTAAAACTTAGGAATCGTTTATTCCTGAAATTTTTCATTTAATATCTTTAGACCATAGTTGATTGTGGGTAAATGAAGCCACAGAGAGGGAACCCGTGGAGGGGGCGGGATGACTATAACACTGCAGTATCAATGAGGTCACTGAACCTTTTCCTGGTGAGTAAGGGCACGTTAGGGCTTTGTTTCAAGAACCCAGTCTGGAGGCTCAGAGACACCACTTACCAGCCATTGACTTTGGACAGACCACTGAGCATCTCTACATTTTGGCTACATTTTACTTACAAAATGGGGGTAATGTTAGTGTCTGTTTCAAAGAGTGGTGGTGAGGACTGTATGAATCAGCTTGTAGCCCGGAATACAATGATAATGATGATGATCATTATTATTAAAAGGCCAATGTGTACGAACAACATCTACTCACACTTACGAAGGTTCCATATCAGGGTCCTGGTCTCTTCGCCTCTGCCTATACAGTCCTTGAGTCACCCACTTGTCATTCTCCTAAATGGTGGGGACAAGAAGATGCTTTAAAATTCTAGTGTCTATTGGCTTTGCTTTCTAATCCTTAGAGGCATAACTGACACATTTTTAATACTAATAAAGTATAAATTTGTATATAGTGGGCATGGAGGACATTAGAAGACTATAATATGCACTATGGTGGTTTCTGTGTCATAATAAGTATGTCTCATTAGTCAGTAATTAGGATGAAAATGGCCTTTGCACAAGGACACCTTCTCTGTGTGTCACGAGGGTGTGTGGAGAGCTGTGGGAGCCAGCAACAACTGGCAGAGCCTTCATAACAATCTGTCTCAAAAAACTTCCCTTGGCACAGTGTTTGCTCTTTAAAAACCCCACGTAACACCCCCACATGCTGCTCCCCAGTTCCTATTCTGTTCCCATCAGCAAATGCAGAATTTTCCTTGACACATTAACCCTCAGCTGTCACCATTGTGGGAGGCAGCCACGCACGTCCTCCAGGTCCCGAGCCTTGGCTCTCTGCTATCTCTGCACCTGGGCCTGGTGGTGCCCAGTCAAAGCCGTGGGAGGAGAGAGGGCAAAACCTCAGCGCCGGCCTCTCGGCCTTTGTGGGTTCCAGCCAGACCCCGGGTGTTATTTTAGTGCAACGTCGGTATTTAATTTGAGGATGTGTGTGGATCAGAAGGTGGGACCAACACATTATTTTCTTTTCCCTTGGCCAAATGATTAAATTTAAAGTTCTAAAAAGCACACAGCTGGACCCAAAGCCGTGTCCAATTGGAAATGAGGAATGGCCAGACAATCCCTCCCCTGCCAGGACTGTCCTTCCTTTACCGCCGGCCACCGCACAGGCCCATTCCTGTGGGCATCACCTGTGGTTCCCAGCCGACCAGAACCCTGCACTCCAGGCTCTCTTACCCTGCTTGTACTTGCACCTTTTCTGGAAGAACGTTCTACAGGTTTGTTCAATTTCTTACAGTCTTGAGAGCACCCTCACCGGCCGCCGCTGAGCCATGGCTGAGGGGGAAGTCACCACGTTCACGGCCCTGACCGAGAGGTTCAATCTGCCTCTGGAGAACTACAAGAAGCCCAAGCTTCTCTACTGCAGCAACGGGGGCCACTTCCTGCGGATCCTCCCAGACGGCACCGTGGACGGGACAAGGGACAGGAGTGACCAGCACAGTAAGCACCCGTGCATCCTTGTTGGAGGCCCTCCCCTTTCTGGTGTCTTCCTTAGTCAAGGATGGGGGAAGGGAGGGCATCTAAACATTGGCACCTTCTTCTCCAGGCATGACACTCTCAAAGGCAGGGCCATGGAAATGTGGGGAGGGTCTGGGTATGGAAACTCGAGTTGTGAGGGCCACAGCCTGCCTACAGGAAGCTCTCTGTTGACCTACACAGCTGCCTCGGGATCAGATGTGGCAGCCACTGTTCAGATGTTCAGATTTCTGTAAGTGGTGAGAGGTCTGTTCTTCCAGGCTGATCAGGGTCCTGTTTGCTCCATGTGGGGAAGAGCTGCGTGGGGCAGGGTGGGTAAACCTCGCACAAAAACATGGGCTCAGGTTCAAGTTTACTGACTCTCCGGGTTACCTTTCCACTGGGACCGGTGTGTGAAATCCTAGTTTAAATCGTAGCTTGCACATCATAAATTATGCAGCTTCCGCTCTGCATATCGTGCAGACGTGGCTGTGGTAACGGGAGGGGTAAAGTCATTCTCCAGACCTTATAGAAACTAGAGAGCCGGAGAGATTCGAGCCAAAAGCGGAGCATCTCTTCCGGGCTTTCCTGCCGGCCCAGCAGACGGTATTGATAAATGGAGTTATAACTTCGGAGAAAAGAATCTTCTGGACTGCCTAGGAATAAAAATGTCTTCCTTCTGCTTTAGTACTTGAGGTATTGGTGTGTGTTGATATTAGGTGTTTGGGTCCTCTGTGATGTAACCGGGAATTCCCTGAGTTACCACAGAGGCTTTAGATGCTGCAGAGAAGGCAGAAGGCAGATCTGGTACCTGCAAAGAGGGTCACATGGGCCAAACTTGTCACGAGTCAGGAGAAGGAGAGCATGGATGAAATTAGGAGACACAGAATATAGCACAGGTAGAGAGTAGTGTTCCACAGGATGGCTTTCACATGTCCTGTGCACTGAAAGGTTGCTGGTTAGATTTCTGGTCAAGGCACGTGCTGGAGTTGCTCAATCCCCAGCAGCAGGGCGTGCAGGAGGCAGCTGACTGATGTTTCTCATATTCTTTCTCTCCCTCCCCCTCTCTCTAAAAAACAATTAAAAATCTTTAAAAGGAAAAAAAATGTGGAATGTGTCAATGTGATGGTTTATATATCAGATAGTCTTCATTATTCATGGAATATGCCCCATGCAGCAGGATCTAAGTACAAATGACCACTGCACTGTGCTCGCTCTCTACCCTCAGATACACAGGCAGTGGGGAGGGGAGCCGAACTGATTGGCATTGTCCCTTCCCTCCCAGCCACCTTGAGGTGAGGAGCAGGAAGGCTGAGGGTGGGGCTTGCAGCGGCAGAGTTAGATGTATCGGGTCTTGTTTTTGATGGCTTGTCTTCAAATGGGCCTTCTGAATGCCTGATCCTCGGTGAAGCATAGGCACCAAAGTGAGGCGAAAACAATTCTATTTAGTATGCCAACCATACAGAAGCAACATTTACTGACAATAAATCGACTTAGACTGGAGTCTGTTGTGTAAGGCAAGTCACACAATTTGTGTGATCTGCCCCACTCAATATATGGGAAATGAGCTTTAATTTCTCTAAAGTTTTAAGCATTCCTAATAAGTTTTACCAGTTTTCTGAACCAATGGAAATGCTTTCTGGTGCTCGGACTCTCGGGGGAAAGATAACCTTGGTGAAGCAGTCCTTTGGGTTAAGCTGGCTGTTTCGGGACACCTTGAATTCTGGGGTAACAAGAGGTGACAATGACAATTTCCATGCACTGGAATTTCTGTGCAAATGGCATAGGTCTTCATTGTTGTCATTACATCATCCACATAGAGACTGCACTCTGAGCGGGTAATACTGGGACTTCTGAATAGTGCTGAGTCACCTTACCTAAGATGCCAGGGCCCTTGGATATAGCATAAGGGAGCCTTAGGATGTATATGAGGAGGTCTGTATACAAGTAATGCTGGGTTAACTATTTGGCGAGTGAACATGGCCAAGTTACTTGACCTTTCTGCCTCAGTCTTCTCATTTATAAAATAATATTTCTTGCCTCACAGGTTTCCTGAAAGGACTAAATGAGATAATATGGTGAAAGTTCTCGGCACAGTCCCTTGGTTGAGAGTAAGCACATGTTAGCCAATATTGCTATTATTATCATCATTGAGATTTACGTATATTCAACCCAGCATATGGAAATCCAGGATAATACTTAGGGCCTTCCCTTGTTTTTATTTCTCTTCAAACATGGAAGGCCAGGGGGTCTAATTTCAGGTTTTGCTTCAATGCCTTTCTGGCAACATGAAGAGTTAGTGTGTTGGCCTATTTCCTGATTCTAGGACTAAGAACAAAGGCCAAGGAGGACGGAAATCAGAGTCGGTGGGGTGAGTGGTTCTGTACCTATTAGTGCGGGGAAAACTGGGTAATCTACACACACTTGGCTGAGCAAGGGGCTGCGATTAAGAGTCAGAAAGCTGAGTTCACATTTCTGCGTTGCCCCTTAACTGGAGCTGCACTGGGCAGTTACCATTCTCTCCTTTTGCATCAAGTGCTCTGCAAAGGCAGCTTTGAGCCCCCAGCCCCATGACCCTTCCAAACATCCCCTCCCATGTGGAACTTTAGATATCTTTGGCGTTTCCAGCTGTCTGACCTTATGGGATATATTGAGACTCAGTTTCCCCACCTACAGAATGGGAATCATAGCACTGCCATGTGTACTTGACAAGGCTTAAAACTCATGAGGTCCAGCGGACCAGACGACACTCTGGCTTGAATGCACCCGCTGAATGTGGTTACGTCGCCCTCTTCTGCCCAGTGGCAGTACTGCCACAACCCTTGTGAATTTCAAGGATTATTATTCAGAAACATAATTAACCTGGACAAGCATGGAGTGGATGATCCCTGACTAACTGATTAGCACAGTGTAGTGAGGGGATGATTAAAATTCCTTGGTCATTCGTTTGAGCACGATTAGAGATTGCGGTCATAAGTAGAGTCACATTCTAAGACTTCCTGCAGGAAGAATGATTTCTAAAAGCCAATCAAATATTTAAATGAATATACATAAATCATGCACAACAGATTATAATAATAATCTGCTTTGTATGCCTGCCAGCTCTCCAATGTAAATAATAATAATAATAACTCCTTTCACAGCTTCTCTTTGTCCCCAGCCAGCAGATCTGCCTTGGGCAAAATTGGGAAGTTTTCAAAATTGGTCTTCTACCTCCAGGAGAATAAGTCCCCAAGTACTCACACAGGGCCCCTCAGGGAGTGGCATGACCCCAGAAGGCCTTTGTAATGCAGCCCTGAGTGGAACGTCTCCACCAGTGGGGATCTCGGGCCTGTAGAGAAGATGTTTTGGTTTGCCCCGTTATAACTCCTCATGTTACATGGTGGGCAGTACCACTATGGGCTGTGAGCACTTCTTCCATTACCACTTTCCAAATGCCAGGAAATGCAGAGAGCAAGAGCTGCCCACTGTGAGAAGGGGCATGGGTGCTGGTTGTCAGAAAATTCATGTTGACTTCCAGGACTTCCCTTTGAGAGACGGGTAAATGGAGATGTCACCACAAGAGGGAGAATCCTGGAAGAGGAGCAGGTGCAGGGAAAGACATTTGAGGAGTGCCTTGTGCACCAGGAAGCTCTCCTTAAGAGTTGTAATTCCACATTTAACTGTGTGGCTACTTAATGGTTTTCTCCCCGTTGTGGATGAGAACTTGGAGTCCAACAATACAATTTTAGTGGCTAGCACATTGCCTGACAGTTGATAAAATGTCCAATAAACATTCATTTGATTAGTGAATGAACTGCATTGGTGGTAGATAGGTCCAAATTCCAATATCTATATATATAAAAGGCTAATATGCTAAATGTCCCTCCTGTCATCTGACCAGTTGCTGTGATGTGCAAGAACCACCAGCGGGCAGATGCTCAATGCAGGAGCTGCCATGCATGCACTAGCTGGCACTACAGACCTGGCACCAAATAACCAACACTTGGCTTCTCCCAAGTGGGACACAGGCCCCACCATCACCCCAGAGTGACACCCCACCAAATATCAACCAATGCTGCCACGACCCCATGGCACAAAATGCAGTCCACAGCCCAGCTCAACCCAGAAATGGGTGCTGTGGACTCTGACATCACGTAGCAATGCCCATCTTACTCTCCCTAGCGACTCCCTTGGAGTTTCTTCAGCCCAGGAACACAACTTGCTTTATAGCTGGGTGGAAACATTTTACAATTTAACCAAATATCTGTGAAGAGTTTTCACGTGCCTCATCTCATTTGATCCTCACATATGTCCTGGAGTAGGTAGAAAGGAGACTCAGTGAAATCCTACTTTCTTTTCATTAGCTGGAAAGCAGAGGTTTAGAAAGCTTAGAAACTTCACCTGACTGAGAAGTAAGAAATGGTGGACCTTGAAAATGACTTAAGGTTTTCTCAGTGCACAGAATATAGTCAAATCCTGCTGCAGTTAAATATTTTACCCTTTTTTCTTCCTGCATGATCTATAATAATAATCTGCTTCGTATTGATATTTATTGCTGTGTTGCTGACAATCACCTGAAAGAGAAGTTGGGGTGCTTCACTGGGCTAGAAAAAGTTTAGCTATATCAGAAAGCAGGTCTAATTAAGCAAGTTTATTCTATATCTATAAAAGGCTAAGTTGACTTGCACATGCACAATACATATAAAGCGCTCACTGGTGCCAATCGCACACATGTGTTTCCATCTGTCATTGTTGATCGTGAATTTGGTTGACACTTCTATTACAGAGGAAGGGCGAATAGGAATATTAAAACATTTCTTCTAATTAATTTCCTTTCAACGTGCATGAATTTGTGCACTGGGCCACTAGTCTGTATGTGTGTGTGTGTGTGTGTGTGTGTGTGTGTGTGTGTGTGTGTGTATGGCTACTATGCCAAGTGTCTCCTCGGAAGCTTGACCAGAAAACAGGGAGTTTGATCACTAGCTATGGCATGTGCTGACCAC